ATCCCACAGACAGATAAAAAACATTCTTCCCATCTCCTGGAAGAGGTGATGGACCAGAGGTACAGAAGGAGGCCTACATTTTCAGTCAGGTCAATACTGGGTATTTGTTCTAATTGAGTATACTTATTCGTAATAATGGAGTCATCTTATTTTATTTAATGAGGAAGAGTTGGAGAGGGAGTGGGGATAATAGTGATCGAGATACAAAAGAAAAAGAAAGGGAAAAAAAGCATAGATGAAACATTTGAAAAATAGAAGGAAATTCAGAAGGGAGTATGGACAAGCAGGGCAGTGTCACAATTGATACTTTTTTCAAAAGGAGATTCACAATGCCACATCCTATTTTTCTGTTCCATGTATAAGGAAATGTTCACACTTGTAAAGCTCACAAAAATTCTGAAAGGAATTTTTAAAAAAGGTGGACTCTGATCAATTAAAAAACTAGGGAAGGTCTTGGAACCTTATACAAGGTCTCCATATTACATAGCTCTGTTTATTTTTTTTACTACAATATAAAGATAGATCAGAAATGGCTGTGATGTAAAGACAAACAACATCAACTAAATATATTTCAAAAAGAAAAGAGTCAAACCCTACATACAGCTATAACTAGGTATGGCCTTATTGCCTACCCTACTATGTTAATAATCTTTGTCCTTGGAGTAAAAAAGGTCTTAGAGTAACTCAACCCTAGAGATTCAAGGTTTGGCTAAACAAGTGAAACTAGATGCTTTGAAAATATAGAAGAGACAGAAGAGGGTTCTTCCTCAGTTTTCTAATCTGAACAACAGAGATAATAATAGTGTCTACCTCCCAGGATTACTGGGATGGGAAAAAAAATACTGGGAAGCCTTTCTGGGCAAAGAAGCCAATCTTTATTAAGAGAAACAAAGGTGGAGTCTACAGTTCCCCCCGTATGGTCTGAGATCCCAAGTCAAAGAATTAACATTTATAATTCTCTCAATTCACGCATGGTATAAACAGGTCATTTCGTGGTACAAATGGTCAGTGCCCTTTTATTCAAGCAGGCCATGATGTCTCAAGCAGACCCTTTCATATCATAAGCTCAGGGCAACTCATTATAATTTAATATAAAGATGATTAATACTTAAAAACACACACAATTCATGATGATTATACTCCTAAGACCCGCTGACACAGGTATTTACCTGGGACTACATCAGAGGTTCATTTACACACAGGTTTCACCCAGGACTATATTCTTACTACACATCACAGAATTATTCCTTATCCTATCAAAAGGATAATAGCTGTTAAGTGGTTAGCAAAGTAATGAAAAGCAAGGTACTCAAAACATTGATTGTTGATTTGTCCTATTACAGAGAGAATAAAAATGAGATACTTGTAAAGCACTTTGCAAACTTTAAAAGTTATTGTTTAACATAAAGTTTATTGTTATAGGCTATATAAAAAAAGGTTATATAAAAAGCTACTGTTAAAATCACACTTCTTTCCAGAAGTGGGGGACTATGGGTATGGAATACTACATGTAACTTTTTTCAATACATTGGTTTGTTTTGTTGAATATTTTGCTGAATATTATTCCCTTAAAAAAATTATGAGAGATGCTTCAGGTGAGGAGGGAGAGGGATAGAGAATGGACGAGGTTAAAGTGGGAAATGCAGGTGATATATACATATATATGTATATCTCAACACATTTTTTAAAAAGAGGCTTTCCTCACAACAGTGTGAGGTATATCATGTACATACTATTAATATCTTTTCAGACAAAGAAACTGAGGCACAGTGAAGTGACTTTTCCAGAGTCACACAGTAAGAGCGGGGATTCAAAAGTAGGTCTCCTGACTCCCCATCCAATGCAGCAATAATGAACACAAAAACAGAAATATAACAAGAAAAACTGAAATGAAAAAAGCTCCTGCCCTCAAGAAGCTTGCATTCTATGTAAGGGAAAGGGGGGATAATGGAGATGTGTGTGTGTGCATGGGTACACGAGTGTATGTTTACAAAAGGTATTTGGTCAGGAAGATGAAAGTATCAATAAGGGCCTCACATAGCAAGTGATGTTTCAATTAAGCACCAAAGGAAGCTAGAGGTTCTAAGAGGCAAAGGTAAGGACAGACTTCATTATAAGCATGCAGCGTAGCTTATACAAAAGCATGGACATAGGGGGTATGAAAGGGCAGCTGGGTGGCACAGTCAATAAAGCACTGGGCCTGGATTCAGGAAGACTCATCATCCTAAATTCAAATCCCACTTCAGCCACTTACTACTACTGTTATGACCCTGGGCAAGTAACTTCCCTCTTTTTGCCTCTGTTTCCTCATCAGTAAAATGAGCTGAAAAAGGAGCTAGCAAACCACTCCGGTATCTCTATCAAGAAAACCCCAGGAAAATGCTATCCACATCCAGAGACAGACTACGGAATTGGAATGCAGATCAAAGCATACTATTTGCTTGTTTTTTTTTTCTTCTGTTCTGTTTCCTCTTTCTTGTGGTTCTTCCTATTGGTTCCAATTCTTCTTTACAACATGACTAATGTGAAAATATGTTTAATAGGAATGTATACATAGAGCCTATATCAGATTGTATGCTGTCTTGGGGAGGAAGATAGGGAAGGAGAGGGAAAAAATTTAAAACTCAAAAGATTATGGAAGTGAATGTTGAAAATTAAAAATAAATTAATTTTAAAAAAAGGAAGAAAAAGAAAACCCCAAATGGGCTCATGAAGAGTTGGACAGGACTGAAAATGACTGAACAACAAGAGAAGACGTAAGGTCTTGTACAGAGAAAGAGGAGCAAATTGATTTGTGTAAAAGAATGTAGGGGATAATAAGCCTGGAAAGGCAAGTTAGAACCAGATCCTGAAGGGCTTTACACTTAACACAGAGGATTAAATTAAATTTAAAAGGTTTTGCACAAAAAAACCCCAACGCAGCCAAGATGAGATGGAAAGCAAAAAACAGAAGAGCTTATGTTCTGGACTAAACCCAACAGTTTCTGAACAGTGTGGGGCTGACATGTTTAGACCTTCACTTTTCTTTATGACAGCAGGTGCTACCTGCCATTGGAAATTCTATCCTGGTTAACTGGCAAATAAGGTGCTTTTTGAAGGAGTCAAGTATTAATATAAATTTATATTATATTTACATATAATATAAATTAAAAAATAATATAAATATCCACAATTCCTCTAGATCAGAGTTTCACTGAGGAAGGAAATATGAGTTGGCTGAGATAGCTGACAAGGAATAAAGTGATTCTAAGATGTCAGATGAGAAGAGCACGGAGAATGCTAAATGAGCAGGACTCACTTATCCAGCCCTGGCCTTGAGACTACGCTTCATGCTTTGACAGAGAGCCAAGAACTGATGAATTAGAGATATTCAAATCTAAGCAGAAGAGCAGACTGCTTCCCTGGAAGTGGCCAGTTCTCTCTCACTAGAAGTATCCAAATAGAAACTACATGATCACCTATCAGAAAGGTGGTAGAGGGGCAGCTAGGTGGCGCAGTGGATAGAGCACTGGCCCTGAAGTCAGGAGGCACTGAGTTTAAATTCAGCCTCAGACCAAACACTTGACACTTACTAGCTGTGTGACCCTGGGCTAAGTCACTTAACCCCAATTGCCTTAAAAAAAAGTGATAGAAGGAATAGTTGAAATACCCACATACATGGGAGGTTAGATTCAATTACCTCCAAGGTCCCTTCCATTCCATGATGGGATAATTCTATAAAATACACGACACTTGGATGTCTCACCAGACTTATCTTGGGAAACAAGGATTAAAATTAATTCCTAGCATCATCCAACATATAGTCTTATGCCATGGCAGAAGCTCCTCAAAATGCCTGAAGAACATTGTTTGAGCTACCGGAGTAAAACAGATCTTTCTTTGCTTTTCTATTGATGATTATTAATTATCAAAAGAAGGGCAGGCTATAAGCCAAAGTTCCCTCTTCCCCCTACTCACCATTCCCAGAAAGCACAGAATCACAGAACTCAAGAGCTGGAAGGAACTCAGTGACCATTTAATTCAACCCATAACTTCAGGAAGTTTTCTGTATAATGTACTACATGGTCATCTGGCCTCTGCTCCAGGACCTCCAAGGGAGGAAGAACCCACCACTTTTCTTCCTTTTTTCTTCCTTTTTTTTTAAATTTTATTAATTTATTTTGATTTATCAACAATCACTTCCATATGCTTTTGAGTTTAAAGTTTTTCTCCCCCTTCCTCCCACCCACCCTCCCCCAACACTGCACACAATCTGATATAGGCTTTACATTTACATACCCATTAAACATATTTTCACATTAGTGAAGTTGTAAGTAAAAATTAAAACCAATACGAGGAACCATCAGAAAGATGAAACAAAACTCAACAGAAGGTAAAAATAAGTGATAGCGATTCGACTTCCATAGTTCTTTCTTTGGATGTGGATAGCATTTTCCATCCCGAGGCCTCTGGAGATGTCCTAGATCCTCGTAATGCTGAGAAGGGTTCAGTCTAACAATATTAGTCATCGCATAATGTGGCTGTTATTGTGTACAAAGTCCTCTTGGTTCTGCTCACTTCACTCAGCATCAGACCATATAAGTCTTTCCAGGTTTTTCTCAAGTCAGCCTGTTCATCATTTCTTATAGCACAATAGTATTTCATTACATTCATATACCACAACTTGCTCAGCCATTCCCCAATTGATGGGCATCCTCTCAATTTCCAATTCTTTGCCACCACAAAAAGAGCTGCTATGAATATTTTTGTACATGTGGGTCCTTTTCCCATTTGTTTGATCTCTTTGAGAACCCACCACTTTTCAAGGCAGCCCCTCTCACTGTGGGACTTCGGTAATTGTTAGGAAGTTTTTCCTGATCTCCAGCTTAAACTGGCCTTTTTGTAACTTCCACATTTTTGTTTAACCCTGCTCTATCTCCACCAAACAGAGCAAGTCTATTCCCACTTTCATATGTCAGACCTTCCACGACTTGAAAACACGGAGTCCTCTTTTCTTCCAGGACAAACATGCCCAGTTCTTTCATCTGATCCTGACGTGTCATGAACTCAAGGCCCTTCACCACCCTGGTAGGCCTCAAGCCAGTTATGTGGTGAGTTACCCCTGGAGTTTGGGTCCCAGATCAGGACAGACATGGCAGGGCTCTGTACTACATTCCCACAGGATTCAAACCTCCAGCTTTCTATAGCTATTGAAAGCATGGTCTTCCCAGCTAATCACACAGTTCCCCCTTTTTGTGCCCTGTACCAACCCTTCCTTGGTCTAAATGAAAAATAATATGTGCAGCTTCCTCTCTTGTGGTATAGTCTGTGGCTGTGGACAAGCTAGGTTAACTGACTGTGAGCAGGGCTCTGCCTGCAAAGGACCCAGCTCTGTGGCACCTGTTAGGAAACATGCCTGGGCTTGCCACACTCTGGGACCAGCTCTTTGCTGCCTTCCATGAAGTCACCAGATCTGTTGCACTGGCTTTGGGCATTTTTGCATAGACAGGTTCTGTTGTATCTGGGAAGCAGGATACCAATACACACACGTGCACACATGCAAACACACACCCTTAAATGAAAGAAGGTGCTGGGGGAGAAACACCAAAAAGCCATCCATCAAGCTGTGACCTGACCCATCCACAAAAAAAGATATGATTTGTTCCCTAATCATGTCCCTTCTCGAACCCTCAGGCTCTTCATCCGTCACAGAAGGGAGGGGAGCTACATGACCTCACAGGCCCCGTCCAGGTCTACCATTCTTGAATCCTAGGAGGCCCCAGAAAAAATGTCTGTTGTCACCAAATTTACTACAGCAAGAATTCTCTGCAGCTATTACAGTCTGTCTCACATAAAAGTGGGGAAAGTCAATTTTAAACAAATGAAGAAACCCAAATAGTTTTTTTGTGTTTCCTGGGAGAATTGACTGCTCTGAAAACTTCAGCCTCGTTGCCATATCCCTGGGACCTATGGCTGACAGATCACAGATAGAAATCAGGACTCCCAGCAGTGCCGTGCCCGCCCCTCTTCTGTTGGGTGCTGTCATGGGGCTTTTTCCAGAGGAAAAGGAAACTGAGTATTCTTTTTGGCATTGGCTCTGAAGGGAAAAGAGTCTGATGGGCTGGAGGAAAGTATGGGGAATTGAAAATTGGAAGTTAACAACTCATTATTCATTCATTCATTCATTCAACAAACATATAGTAAGTGGGAAAACACCATGCTAGGAAGTGAGGGATGTGTCAAGCTTTGATAAAATATAGTCCCTGCCCTTGAGAAGCCTATTGTCTAGTAGGAAGATAAGACACAACCATAGAAAAAGACAATGCAAATTATTACATAAGTGAAGTGGAGAGTTGCAAAACAGCTAGCCACCAGAGGTCCAAGGGTGCAAGATCATTATTACTAATAGGCCATCAGAGAAGGCTTCATGGAGGAGCAGGTGGTATCTCATAAGAAACTTCATCACTGGAAAGTCTTAGAGATCAAACTTGTCCAGCGCCTTCATTTTGCAAATGAGGAAACGTCTAAAATAACACAAGTCCATAAAACACAGTTATTACACCTCCAAGACCAGTGCTCTTTTTTTGTTTTAAACTGGACCTGTGATTTCACCAACATAGGGAGCTCCCAGGGAACAAAATCCTTTGCCAGTGGAAATCAGCACCTTTGCTGCAACTTCCAGTCTTAGAAAGTAGCCCGGTCTTAGAGAGGTTGCCTCATTTGCTGAGGATTATACAACCAGTGCTCCTCTCATTTCACCATGCTGCCTCCCCATTGGGTGTTTTTTCAAGGATGGGCAGGAATTCAACACTCAAAGGAGGATTTCAGGCACAGAGATGGGAGAATGTCCTTTGTAATTAGGGATGCTGAGTAATCCAGTTGGCCGACACACAGATCACATGGAAAAGAAAAAAATGGCTGGTAGCCAGGGTGAGATCAGATTGTGGAAAGCCTTGAATACCAAGCAGGAGAGTTTGAACTTTAATCAACAGGTGACAGCAATCCACTTAATATTTCTGAGTACAAGAAGGGCATGGCACACCTATTTTGGAGAGGCAGCATGGTGTAGTGGACAGGGCCCTGGACTTAGGGGCACAGAAGGTTGTATTCAAAGCTAGCCTCTGAAACTTAATAGCTCTGTGACCCTAAGCAAGTCACTCCATCTTTCTGAGCCTCAGTTTCCTTATCTGTAAGATGAAGGAGTTGAACTTGAGGGTCTAAGTTCTGCAATTCTAAATAAGTGATCTTCTACATAATAATTTCTTCCTAATTAAAACTGAAAAATAAAAGGGGGTTTTCCCTTTTCTTTAACTAAGAAAAGTTTAAATGCAGTTGGAAAGGAGAGCTGAGAACTACCTAAAGAAATATCTGCGGTCAGTGGCAATCCGTAGTTAGGCTGGAATCCTTGCAAAGCCAACACAAAAGATGATATCATCATCTGCTTCATAGACAAGGTGAGACTTGGCTAATGAAATGGAATCAATCACTATCATGAGGTTTGTAGGTTACTAGATTATTAAATCAAACATACTGTATTTGTTTGGTGACATTCTATTTATATGTGTCATCTCTGCCATTCCGAATCAGAGCTACATTTACCAAGAAGCAGTGTACATATTTAATTATCTCTGTTCCTTTAGGGGCTATTATTGTTGTTGTTGTTTGTCCTTCTTTCTTGAAGAGGATCATGACTTCAGGAAGGTGAATCGTGACTTGTAAGTGAATTGGATGTAAGTGAGGCAGGGCTCTGCAAAGTTACCAGCCTCACCAGCTCCTCCAGAGCCATCTGCGACCAGTGGCCAGACACGGATCAGGAGGACTGCAGACACCCCCCATTAGGGGCTGAAGAATTAGTCAAAACTCAAAGTCACAGCTCTGCTCATTTTGTTAAACTACAAGCAAACAAGAAGACAAATCCTCACAGTGATTATTTGCCCATAGCTGTGTTTCACCCTAACTCCCGACTATTCAAATTATAACTCTGACTTGAAGAACACTTCTGTCAGAGAGGGACAGGTAGATGATGAGAAGGAAACACCTTTCAAAACATGACTCCAGACAACCAGCATGTTTGAGGCAGGGTGAACTACACAGCTTACCTTACATGCCCCATTTTTCTGGAGTTAAGAAGTTTCTTGCCCAGCAGAAAGGCCTAGTTCCTGGTTCCCTGGCCCTCCCCATGAACTACCTAGAGTCACTGAGCTGTGGCTTCAGAGAGCTGAATTAATGGTAGAAATTTGATGCTTGACCAACCTCCAGCCAAATAGTGCCTTACAGCCTGCAGTCTCCAAGAACTGTTTAAATGCGACTGCTATGTCAGCTGACTCTCAGGACAGAAGGGCCTGGGAATAGTTTCTTATTGCTCATGGCTCATAGCCTGGCACCCAGAAAACCTGGGGGGAAATTTTGCATCATAGTACAGAAACAATATAATTCAATCAACAGAAAGCTCCCCCTTGGCCCACTGGTGCTCTCCCTCTGTCTATCCCTCTTTCTCCCTACTATCCTGACTTTGCCTTCTCACTTCCACAGCTTCTAGTCCCCTGCCCCACAGCCTCTGAGGCAGAAAACTCCCTACACTTTAGCTACTCTTCTACAGTCTTTGGGCTGACCAATTTTAACCTTCTCTTTCCACTCTCTCCAGGACCCTCAAGTACTGCTATTGTTCTTGGACTGGGTAGGTCAGTCTCCTCTCCAGAAGGCTCAGCTCATTATCCCTATAGCCTTCCACACAAGGGGCACCCCTTGGGCCACCACTCCCTGCAGTGTGGGGTCTCCTGCTTTAAAATGTAAGGGGTGCCAGCCTCAGACACTTGACATTTACTAGCTGCGTGACCCTGGACAAGTCATTTAATCCCAATCACCTCACCAAAAAGCAAATAAAATAAAATAAAATAAAATGTAAGGGGTAGGGAATCTGTGGCCTACTTTGGTGAAGTTTGGATTCAGTCAAAGGGCAGCACTTGAGGACCTAGAGGGCCACATGTGGCCTTAAGGCCACAGATTTCCCCCACCTAGACGTCTTTGCTTTTATACTTTTATCTCTAGAGTTTAGCACTGAACAGGACACAATGTAAGCACTTAAAAGCTTTTCCAGTCATTTCACTGAAGATTAGGAGAACTCTTTAGGTTTTTCTCTCAGTGCCTTCTTTCTTGTATATATTCATTTCTTACCTGGCCTTAATTACTGAATGGGCATTGCCTCAGAAAAACTGAAACCTGGGAAAGACCTTAGCTTAAAAAGGCCAAGGTCTCCCACTTCATCTGGGGCCATCTCCAGTCATCCTGATCTATATCTTGCCATTGGATTCAGATGACTCTGAAGGAGCTAATGAGGCTGGTGACTTTGCACAGCCTTGCCTCACTTATATCCAATTCACTTGCAAGTCATGGCATGACCTTCCTGATGTCATGGTCCTCCTCAAGAAAGAAGGACAAAAGCAACAACAATCCTGAATACAACCTCAAGAACTGTCCTGGTCTCACTATCAGTCATACCTCCTCCCTCCCGTTGTTCTCTACCAGTCATCCTCCCCATCACAGAGGGCCAGGCATTCAACCTCTCAAATATTTATTCTCCTAAATGGTCCTTCACAGATACAATTTGTCCTTCTTTAGTCCTTTCAGTTGTGTTCAACTCTTCATGACTCCATTTGGGGCTTTCATGGCAAAGATCCTGGGGTAATTTTCCATTTCCTTCTTTAGCTCATTTTACAGATGAGGAAACTGAGGCAAAGAGGGTTAAATGGACTTGCCCAGGGTCACACAGCTAGTAAGTGTCTGAGGCCAGATTTGAACTCAATAAGATGAGTCTTCCTGACTCCAGGCTGGGCATACTATTCACTGTGCCACATATGTGCCATATTCAGAGATAAGAAAACAGTTTTATGTGCTATTCTTCATGAATACCAAAAAGAAAAAGAAAAAAACAAGTATATGCCCTTTGCTGCAAAGAGATGTCCTTTTCCTTACAAAAGTTCCACGTTAATACCAAAGATGCCATTGACGTTTTGACTTCCTCTGGGCTTTCTTTGATCAATATTCACATCACACCCTCAGACTTCCCTGTACCCTTGCCTTCTCATTTTCTTTTCTGATTTCTACTTCTTGAACACTTCTACCATAAGTAAGACCTTTAAAATAGTTATCTGCCTGTGATAGGTACCTAAAGAGCTAGATAAATGGGCTATTCAAATAGATTTCCTAACCCTTCCCAGTAGCCCAACACTGATGTATCCTGGCTGTGGCTACCAGACTCATCTTCCCAAGCATGTCATTGCTCTGTCCAAGAACCTTCAAGGGTTCCGCACAATGCACTGAAATGAGGTTCAGAATCCTTAGCCTGACCTTCCATGATCTTACTGATAAAAACTGTTTCCACATCTGCCTATGGCTAACACTGTATCTATTGTGTTCCATCAAAACTAAAACACTGAACATTTTCCCCTTAACACAGTCACCTTTGCCTCACCTGTCCTTTTCCACCACCCTCTTTGCCTATCACAATCCTGCCCACATGATAAGCTGTGCTATAAATTCCACCCTGTTTCAATAAAAGCTCCAGCAGATCAAAATTAATCCCTTAGAGACAAAAGCCTGGGGTGGGAGGTGAGGGGGGGGGGGGACCAGGGATAAGGAAGGAGCTGGGAGGAAGGAAACACGCATTTATGTATTTCCTACTGTGTAACAGGCACCGTGCTAAACACTTTACAAATATTATCTCATTTGATCATCACAACAACCCTGGGAGGTAGGTGTGACTATTACCCTTATTTTATAGTGGAGGAAACTGGGTCAAACAGACTTTTAAGGGCCACACAGCCAGTGAATATCTGAGACCACATTTCAGCTCAGGTCTCCTTTCCTACAAGGTGTTCAGTGCATAG